AAAAGCTTTTTGCACAGCAGAGGAAACAGTCGACAAAACCAAAAGACAACTGACAGAATGGGAGAAGATATTTGCAAATGACATATCAGATAAAGGGCTAGTATCCAAAATCTATAAAGAACTTATCAAACTTAACACCCAAAGAACAAATAATCCAATCAAGAAAGGGCAGAAGACATGAACAGATATTTCTCCAAAGAAGACATCCAAAAGGCCAACAGATACATGAAAAAATGTTCAACATCACTCGGCATCAGGAAAATACAAATCAAAACCACAATGAGATACCACCTCACACCAGTCAGAATGGCTAAAATGAACAAGTCAGGAAATGACAGATGTTGGCGAGGATATGGAGAAAGGGGAACCCTCCTACACTGTTGGTGGGAATGCAAGCTGGTGCAACCACTCTGGAAAACAGTATGGAGATTCCTCAAGAAGTTGAAAATAGAGCTACCATATGGTCTAGCAATTGCACCACTGGGTATTTACCGCAGATACAAATGTAGTGATCCAAAGGGGTACCTGCATCCCAATGTTTATAGTAGCAATGTCCACAGCAGCCAAACTATGGAAAGAGCCCAGATGTCCATCAACAGATGAATGGATAAAGAAGATGTGGTATGTATGTATATATATATATATATATATACACACACACACACACAATGGAATACTATTCAGCCATCAAAAAAATGAAATCTTGCCATTTGCTATGGCGTGGATGGAACTAGAGGGTATTATGCTAAGCAAAATAAGTCAATCAGAGAAAGACAATTATATGATCTCGCTGATATGTGAAATTTAAGAAACAAAATAGAGGACCATAGGGGAAGGGAGGAAAAAATGAAACAGGATGAAATCAGGGAGACAAACCATAAGAGACTCTTAATCATAGGAATCAAACTGAGGGTTGCTGGAGTGGAGCAGGGGGATGGGGTGATTGGTGATGGACATTAAGGAGGGCACTGGGTATTATGTAAGACTGATGAATCACTTACCTCTACCTCTGAAACTAATAATACATTATATGTTAATTAATTGAAATTTTTTTTATTATTTATTTATTCATGAGCGACAGAGGTGGGGAGAGAGAGAGAGAGAGAGAGAGAGAAGCAGAGGGAGAAGCAGGCTCCCAAGGAGCAGGGAGCCCGATGCGGGACTCGATCCCAGGACCCTGGGATCATGACCTGAGCCGAAGGCAGACGCCCAACCATCTGAGCCACCCAGGAGCCCATGAATTTAAATTTTAAAATAAAAATAATCTAGGGTGGGCTAGGTAGAGCTCACTTTGAACTCGCATCTTCTGCTGTGGTCTTGTCTAGAAGTGTATCATGCACATATGCGGTGCCCAGAGTTCTCTCTTCAACACATGGTTAAGTGTGGAAGACAACTGTGAGAACACACATCTTGCCTGACACAATTAACACCTTTCAGGGACAGCATTTAAGACACACACGAATCACATGAAACAGCTTGGGCGTCAGCCACTAGGTTCCTGTCTTGGGGGGAGGGGCGACAAGTGTTTGGTGCTGCTGTGGTTTGCACGCCGGTCAGGGAGACGCCGCGTGCCGTCAGGCTACCTGTTGGCTGATTCAGTGGACAGCATGGGAAGTATAGGTTTGTTGTACAAGAAGTAGATGCTGGGCAATGGAAGCTGAGCTGCCCTGCTGTGGAATAGTCTGACTAGTCTTGCTACCGTGGTTTTGTTACTTACTGCTTGGTATAAATTTATGGCTCTTTGTTTTATAAATATTTATTTTATTGTGTGGCAGTGCTTTTAAAAATTTTATTGTGTCGTAATGCTTTTTTTATTTTGCAGTAAACCCTTTGGGGAACAAACAGCTAGAGAGCTGATGTTTAGTGAAAATCAAATAGTGAATGTCCAGTTTTCAAGGAAGTTGACCTTGCTCAGATTTGTCATCACTTACATCTGGAGTAGGGTCCTAGTGATACCAGCCACAGGAAAACCGGAAGATGTACCTCTGTGAAAAGAACACAGTAGTGCCCCCTTATCTGCAGCCTTGCTTCGCGCAGTTACCCACAGTCAGCCATGGTCCAGTGGCAGCCAACAGTAGCCCACGGCTGTGCCGCACCGCCTGCGTCGTCCCTCACCCTTCCTCTCCTCATGCAGCCATTTTCTCATCTCACATCATGGTCAGAAGGGAAAGGATGTATACAATACAATGAGATATTTTGTGAAAGACCACGTTCACATAACTTTTACTGCAGTTTATTATTATGATTGTCCTATTTTATTATGAGTTTTTGTTGTTAATGCTTTATTGTGCCTACTTTATAAATTCAACTTTACCATAGGTATGTATGTATAGAAAAAAACAGTGTGGAAAAGGTTCTGTACTATCTGAGGTTTCAGGCATCCACTGGGGCTCTTGGAACGTATGCCCCATGGACAAGGAGGGGACGGGACTATGGGACTCTACATTTAAACTTTATCTCCTCCCCCAAGCAAGACCTAAACCACAGCTCTTTGCCCAATCGCTTGTCCCCCCCTCCTGGCTGTAACTATCTCAGGGGTCCCATTGCTCTAGGTTCTGCTTTGGTGTTCCAGTGTTTCCCACCTGTGTTTTCTCTGGGCAGACTTGAGTTCAGTAACCCTCAGCGGTGCTGGGTGGCGCCACCACAGCCTCGATTTCCCCTCTGACATTTTCTTCTTCACCCTTAGGGAGCATTTGCAAAAGAGGCATAATCTGAAGCCCAGCTTCTTGTTCATTTCACAGCCAAGCCTTTGGCTAAAAGGTTCACGTCTTTTCTCACCTCAAGAAGCATTCATGGCTGCTGATCGCCGTGTCACCCCAGCTGACCGGCTACACATAAGGGACTCAGAGGGTCATGATAGTGGTGCCAGAGGTACGAGTTGCCCTTTTGCAGGGGCCACTGAAATTACAGATGTACCTCAGTGAAACTGATTTTACTCACTTTTGCGATTGCTCCAAATTGCCTGTTGCCTCCACTGCTGTTCAAACAGCCCGGGACTATCTGCTCTTTGGATGGCTACATTACAGCGTTGATTCACATAGAATTTATATGCAGCAAAAAGAACAAAGATGTCTCCACAGTTGCCTGTCAGGGCGCTGCTGGGTAAGGATAGCAGGTGAACGTCACTATCCATTTGTTAATCAGGGTTATTAACACAAAGTGCAGAGCTGTAACAAACGCCCCCCCAAGTCTCAGTGGCCTCACCCAACAAATGGCTATTTCTTGCTCCCTTCACAGTCCCTTGCAGGTGGATGGCTGTCCTGGGCAGCCGTCCTTTGAGCATTAGCTCCTCTGTGGCTCTGCCGTCTCCTAGAATGTTCCATTTTCCTCTGTTGAATTCCCTCCTTAGAGCGAAAAGAGAACTCCAGAAGGATTGCACTGGACATTCTGTGGCTAGGCCTAGAGGTATGTGCATCACTTGTACCTACGTGCCATTGACCAGGACCCAGTCAATGGTCCCAACCTAATTGCAGTGGAGGCTGGGAACTGTTGACTTCCTGTGTGCCCAGGCAGAGAAAACAAGATTGCTGAGCATCTCCTCAGTCTCTGCCACAGGCAGGCCATGGAAAACACAGTTGGGTGGAAGTCAGAGCTGGGCTTTGCCACTGATGTGCTGGGTGGCTTTAGGTAAGTCACCATAACCACTCTGAGCTGTTTCTAACTTCCTGTAAGGGCTGTAACACTGCCTGCCTTGTATCTGTAAGTGAGTGTGCATTGTTGTATAAATACATGTGCTAGTAATAGGGGTTGTGGCCTGCACTCATTTTTTTAAATTAAGATTATAAGGATCCCAGTTATTGATTCAATAACTACTTTTTGAACTCCTGTAATAGTCAGGCATTGAACTAGCTGTCGACAAGCTCTGATCCCTGGGTCTTACATTCTGGTGGAGAGACAGATGACAAATAATCTATAAAGAAATAACATGGTCATGTGATCTACATGATCTAAAGCAACTGAAGGGCTCAGGATAGGCCTCTCTGGAAAGGCAGCACCTTAGCTGAGACCTCAATGATGACATAGAGGCAGACACATGATTATTCAGGAGGAGATTGTGCCAAGCAGAGGGACCAAACTGCAAAGACCCTGAGGTGGGTCTTTGAACAGGAGGGATCCTTGAACAGCCAAATTGTTGTATGAGGGGGAAAGATTAGGTCAGAGATGGCTAGGGGCCATATCATGCAGGGCTTTGACCTCTCTGGGCCTCAGTGTTCTCACCTGTAAAATGGACTAATAATATCAAGTTCATAGGGTGGCTGTAAAGGATGAAAAGAAATCATGTGTAAAGCGCTTAGAAAAATATCTGGCACATGATATACGCTAAGTGTGTACAGTGAGTGAGGATTTTATTCCAAGCACAGTGGGAAGGTTTTGTACAGTTCACAGCAGAGGAGTGTGACCTCATGTCCACCGGTGCCACCAGGCTGGGCTTGAGGTGCGGCTTTCCTCCTTTCTTCTGGACATGAGAGTGTATAGGGTTTTTTTGGTGAAATTACCAATCCCCACCCCCCAAAATGTTCAAAACATCACATGTTATTTCCATTAATCAAAATGTATGTTTTATTTTCCAAACATTTATAAAATTCCCTCTTCAAATATTTAAGTATATAAAGTATTTAAATATACACAGAATATACATGAATAAGATTTTGTAAGCTTCAGATTTATCCCCCTCTTGAAATAGAGCCAAATATTTGTGCATAGTTTGCACATAAATTTCTCTGCATTACATCTGGGGGGATATGTGAGATGAGCCAAGTTGCTGTGCCTCTTGAACTTTATGTGAACAACACGCGGCCTTGTATTTTAGAGCATGCCATCCCAAAGGTCTGTTTGTGGAAGAGGGCAATCTTAGAAAATTAAAACGATGGCTTTAAAAAAAAATCAGACATGCTGCAGAAACAGATCTTTTCGCTCAAATTAGTAAATAGTGTGTTAAGGGGGAAGAAAAGCTACAGACACAAGGAGAGTTACCATTTCTACAGAAATCGATTCCGTACAAAAGAGGCTGCCCTCCTATTTGCATTGTGCTCATAGGATCCTGAAAATGCAAACCATCAGCTTAAAACGCACCTGCCCTGGTCGTTCTCTGGCAGCAGCTTGGGAACGGGCATCAAGAGACTTGGCCGTGACAGTAAGGACATGCCAGGGGCTGTGGGGTGAGCTGAGGTCATTGTGGCAGCACGAGGCTTTGGCCCACACAGGACTCAGCTGTTGACAGGAAAAAACATGAATATAGAATTGTTTTTCTACAGGCAGATAATGAATCCCCTGGTCAATATAATCTCACAAAACAGCTTTTTCTCCATTGCCACTAAAAAAAAAAATCTTTTTTTTTTTAAGATTTATTTATTTATTTTGAGAGAGTGAGAATGAGAGAGAGAGAGAGAGAGAGTACATGAGAGGTGGGAGGGTTAGAGGGAGAAGCAGGCTCTTTGCTGAGCAGGGAGCCCGATGCAGGATTCGATCCCACGACTCCAGGATCATGACCTGAGCCAAAGGCAGCCGCTCAACCGAGCCACCTAAGAGCCCCCCCAAAAAAGCATCTTAACGGAGTTTCTGCATTAAGTATTAGCATTACAGGAGATTTGAAATATAAGGTTTCCCAAAAGATATGCATCTTCTTTTGTTTATACACAATGGCCCAGGAAGGAGAGCAGCCTTCTGGAACTCTGCTGCCGGTGTGGGTAGGAGATATTAGGACATGAGAGGTGGAGGGCCCAGTAGGTGCCTTGTCCAGGGTTTGTGCAAAGAAGCTGGTGTTCCATCTAGCACCTGGCAGATTCATTTCACTTAATACATATTCATGATGCCCCTCTGCCTGGGGCCATGCACTGTCCAGAGGCTGGGATGCAGCAGTGACCAAGGCAGGAGGGAGCCTTGCCTCCTTGAGCTCCATCTTTCAGGGAAAATAGACAGTGAGGGAGTAAGTGGATTGAGCCATCTCATGCTCAGGGACCTGAGGGACAGGATGCTCACTGGGCAGAGCCCATCTTGGGAGGAGGAGCTGGGGTCTGGGAGTGCCTCCAAGAAGAGGTGACCTTGAAACCGAGACCCTCAATGTGAGCGACCGAGGGGCAGAAGTGGGAAAGTATTCTAGGCAGAAGGAATAGCTTGTGAAGGGCCTATGAGTTTTTGTTTTTGTTTTTTAAGATTGGTTGATTGATTTTAGAGAGAGAGAGAACATGAGCAAGGGGAGGGGCAGAGGGAGAGGGAGAGAATCCTTAAGCAGACTCCGCACTGAGCGTGGAGCCTGATGCAGGGCTCGATCCCAGGACCCCGAGGTCATGACCTGAGCCAAAATCAAGAGTTGGCCGCTCAACCAACTGAGCCATCCAGGTGCCCCCTGTGTGTTTTTGTTTTTATTTTTATTTCTCCCCCTTCTCTTCCTCCCCACCCAGAAAACTCAAGGATGCCCAGGCTAGAGAATATGTACAGCATTATGCCATTTTCATTAATTTTTAAAACAGGCACAAAAACACAACTGTATTTTGTGTGAATACATACACATTTATATAAAAGTATTTTGAATGGTACAGAAGGAGACCCACTAAATTTATGACAGTGGTTGCTTCTGAGAAAGGGGAAAACGGGGCCTGGGATGGGAATGATAAACCTCATTTTATTTGAAAATTCATATTTATTTTAGTAAAGGAGACATTAAAAATGTGTTGGCAAAATGTTAACAATAGTTAATTCTGGATGGCTGGTACCTAGGTGTTTGTTATATTACTCTGTCTTTATACATATATATATATGTTCTTTTTCTTTTAATATCCTTAACAAAGAAAAATTGAGAGTAAAGACTGTGGATTCTTCAAGTGGAGGGGTCACCTTTGGAGAATATGCTTTACAAAGTCCTTTAGAGTGACTGTCTAGGAACTCTAAGCAAAGTTCACATCCCAGGGCACCAGACAATCTTGATTACTCACATTAAAATGAAGAACAACTGTTGTGTTGTCTTGAAAGGGTTCCCTGCAGTATGCATCTCCCCTGCAATAGATTGCTCTTGGCCTTCAGTGCAAGATAGTATTTGTTTCTGGTTACGTAGACACACAACTGGTATAGATCTGTGCATCCTTCCTTCCAAAGAGTTTTTGCCCGGGGATGTTGTTGGGATCAACAGGTGTTCAAAATTTCAATGGTGGAACCTCATTCCTAGTGCTGAACATATGCCGATTTATCTCATTGGAAATGAGTATCCAGCTTGACCGCAGAAAGGAATCAACAGAACTTTCTTAGTGCCAAAGAACTGAGAACTTACCAGTGAAACAAGACTGCCCTCCTTGCCCCTCTTTGCTTATCTTGTTGCAGAAAGACCCCAGGGCAGTTTTCCTCAGTTCTTGTAAATTTTAGCCCCTGGCTTGCTGTCACTGTCTTCAACACTCATCCTTGTCATAATTCACAGTAATTTCAGTATCTACATGGAGGATCCTGTTGGGTCTCGCAGCTTCCCCCGCCTTCATTGTTCCTCTGCCACCCACTTCCACTGCATTATCCTGTCTCCCCCACAGTCTAGGTTACTGTCCTCACCCCACTGATTGGAGATTTCTGTTCTTACCCAGCTTAGATTCCATGGTCCATCATTATGGTCACTCGTCTGCCTATATCCTCAACTCTCTTGGCTCTGTCTTCCTCCATAGTCCTTGCTTGGCAAACTTAGCCCACTCCCCCCATGCAGAGTGGTCCCACTTTTAGTTTATGTACCTCAAGTGGGCCCTCAGCACTCCTGACACTCCTGCTGTACTTCCTTAATCTGTTTACACACCTCTCCTCTGTTCTCAGACTCCTGATAGCTCCTCTCACATCCATGTTTGCTGCTGATGACCTTGTTTTCTGTTTCACAAAAGAAAAACTTCATCTGCTCTCACAGCCTCACCTACAACCCCACCTGCCCCTGCCTTCCCTCCTCTCAGTAGGCACAATTGTCCATGCTGCTTTCTGAGGCTGGACACCCGTCCCCCCCCCAATCTGTGCCTTAGAGCAAATCTTCCCTTGCCTACCCAATGACATTCTCCAGCAACTCTCCGTCTCTCCTACTTCATCAATTTTGCCCTCCCTGTGCAGTTATTCCCATTGGCATGCAAACGAGCCTTAATAGAGCCCATTTTAATTATCCTGCCTTGACCTGCAACCCCTCTTCCAGCTACCCACATATTACTGTGTTCATCTTTCCAGCAAAGCTCCTTGAAAAACTTGTCCCAATTCCTCTCACCCATTTTCTCTTGATCCTTCACTTGCCGGGCTTTTATCCCTGCTGCCTCACCAAAACAGCTTTGTCAGAGTCACCAGTGACCTCTGGTTGATAAACCCAGTGGCCCTTTCTTAATTATCTTTCTTTGCTCAGCAGCCACACCTGACTCAGCTGACTAGTTCTTCCTCCTTGAACACACTTTTTTCACTTGGCTTCTGGGTACCACACCCTTCTGATTGCGTCCTACTTCCTGACTCAGTCCCTAGCTTGATTTGACCGTATCTGGAAGACCTGATGACATCAGAGTGCCCCAGGGGTGAATCCTTCTACCTCTTCCCTTTTTGACTCTGCGGGTGGAAGAGCCTCAGAGCTTTGAACTACCCTCCACACAGTTTATCTACACATTTACACAGTCACTCTTCTTGCAAAGACAGTCAACATTAAATTAATATAGCTCAGAATGGTGTTTGGTTTTGTTTTGGCTGGAAAATTTTCAGTGATCGGATAGATTGCTTATATTTCAGATTACAGATGTGGCATCACATTTTTGTAATTTTCTGATCACAGGCTAACTAGAGATTGCATGCAAAAAAGATAAATACAACAAAAAAACCCAGAGGAGTTCTCCAAGAGCTATCTCAGTGAGAATGTTTAAAAATTAAATTGCATTTTCTGCTATCAGCTTCACAGACGTGGCTTTGGAACTTCTAATGCGCTATTAAGATAAGCTCCTAGCAATTAGAATATAGCCATGACAAAGCCAAAATATCCTTTTGAGACTCTTGCTCTACAGGTTTTGCCATGGGGTGTGTATGTCTTTGACACAAAAGGCAAATAGCACTGGAAACACTGCTTCTTATCACAGAAAAAAAAATTTATGGCCCTGAACTCACCAACATGGAAAGCCATGTTTATGTTAAAGCATCTATTGACCCTTGAGTATGAGATAATTACTTAAGATGACTATAAACCAACCACTGTTGATGGTTGTGGGTTTGTTTTGTCTTTTAAATCACTGACTTTTTGTCATCTGTAAAATGAAATTCTTAGGCCATTCAGTGGAGATCTCTAGTTGAAAAGGTAAAATGAATCTGATTGTGAGACTTTATGACCAAATACTTGGATGAATAAATTAAAAGATGGTGTGAACTGGAAATGAAATGGGGCTTTTGTTAGAATCCTGCCGAATGCTTTTGTAGCCATTTTTTCTACCTGTTCAGGGAACGAGGAAGGAAACATCATAAGAATTATATGGAGGAAATTATGGTGAAGGAAGTTGTATGAGAAAGTGAAAACTCATTTTCTTCATCAGTGCCTTGTGTTTCAAGGTTGCCTAGTATATAAAGTGTTCATGTTGGAAACAAAAACTCAGTGACTCTGAGAAGAGATGATTCAGTAATTACTCAGCCTAATCAGTATAAATAGTTGATCTGGATTTTTCAGGACCCAAACTGAATTATCTATAAATTAACTGCACAATTGCCAAACAGTCCCTTCAGTTGAAACTTCATAGAAGCATTCTACATATTGAGATTTTCCTGTTGTATTATTTGTGAAGAATGATATTTCAAATGTTTCTTTGCCAAACAATATCTCTGGGTGCCATGGTGTTTTACAATTTGCAAATGTGTGCTAAGGTCCAGTCAGGACTGGTATTCTTTATAAGCAATGATTTACCAATTAATAAGACTGACTCAACATTTTGCAACTTTGTTGAGATAAACTCCCTAGGGATAAGATTGTGTACCCTCATGAATTGTGGGACAATAAACACTTACATTTTATTAGAAATTCATTATGGTAGAAAACCTTTCCTGAGTTCAGATTTGAGGGAAGAAAAGCATCATCTTGGGTATTATACTTTTTATCTGCTCACTTCAGTAATTGGCTCGATGAGAAGACTTCAGATACTGTTTTCATGACATGGTTTTCCAATTGGTGCTTTTCTCTCCAGGTTCCCGAGGGCAAAGTGGTAGTTCTGAATTTCCGATTCATAGATCTCGAGAGTGACAACCTGTGCCGTTATGACTTTGTGGATGTGTACAGTGGTCACACCAATGGCCAGCGTATCGGGCGCTTCTGTGGCACGTTCCGGCCTGGAGCCCTTGTGTCCAGTGGTAACAAGATGATGGTGCAGATGATTTCTGATGCCAACACAGCTGGGAATGGCTTCATGGCCATGTTCTCTGCTGCTGAACCAAATGAAAGAGGTACCGTTTCCACATAATGGCAGTCACAGCAATAATAATGGCTCACGGTTATTGGATGCCTCCTTTGTGTTAGGCTCTGTCCCAGGCACTTTATATGTGTTTACTCCTTTAACCTAAAGTTGAAGAGCAGCTCTTCTCAAACGGAGCTAATAAATGCCACCGAACTACCAAGAGACATTCCAAAAAGTCTCTCTTTTTTTTAAGCCCATGTGATTCTTACCAAAATTCAAATATAGAAATTCCTGGAGTAAAAATGTGAAGCTTACATACACATATACACATACCCCTTCACCCCATTATAGTCCCGTCTTAGAAAGAGCCATGGCTGGTGGTTCCCATACCTTTCTATGTACACTCGTATGCATATACTTCTGCAGTAGCTTTTTAAAAATCTAAGTGGGATCACACATTCATATTGTTTCACAACTTTTTTTTTTCACTTAAAACTGTGTGTTGGAGTGTTTTCATGTTGGTACATATGAGTACCCATGGGTAGAAACCTCTCCCCTGAAGAGATAACTGCAGTAGGCCCGATCTGTTAAATTTGGAGCCTTTTGCTTGAGGGCATTTCCTAATCTGCTCTTGCTTTGAGCTGTTGTGCAGCATTTTGGTTTGAGATGCCAGAGGACAGGATCTGGGGCTGACAGAGCAGCCAGACATTTGGGAGGAAATGCTGGCTGGGAGCTACAGAGGAATTGAAGCACAAAATATGCAGATAAAAGCCACCTAGAGCTTTGGTTGACAGCCAAACTCTACGTATGCAGAGGAGAGTCTAGTTGGCCCTGCAGAAAAGCAGCAGCTGAAAAGATTAAAGTGAACAGAGATTACAGCGGCTGCCCACGGCCAGGGAGATGACTTTGAGCTTGAGTCTAGGCAAGTGAAATGCCTGCTAGAACACAAATCCTTTTTCTATGGAACACAACAGAATCTAGAGTCTCTGTAATGTATCATTCATAATATCCAGTATCCAGTCATGTGATAAAACCAGAAAAGTGTATCTATATTCAAGAAAAAAAGTCAATAAAAACTGATCCCAAGATAACTCAGATGTGGCAGTTAGCAGACAAGCACTTAAAGCAACTATTGTAACTATATCTAAGGACTTAAAGAGAAATAGATGTATAGTAAGTAAACAGGTTGAGAATTTCGGAAGAGAAACAGAACTATAAAAAAAGAATAAAAGAGTAATTCTAGAACTGAAAGATACAAAATCTGAAATTTAATAATTTACCTGGTGGGCTTACAAGCAGATTGGAGATGGCAGAAGAGTCAGTGGATCCGAATAGAAATGAGCCAATCTGAAGAACCAGGAGGAAAAAGATGAAAGAAAAAGAGCCCGAGAGACCAGTGAGGCAATATCAAGTGGTCTAATGAGTGTAATTTGTACCCCAGAAGAGAGGGAGAGTAGTGCAGGAAAAATGTCTGAAGAAATAATGGCTTGAAGCTACCCAGATTCAGTGAAGAACATTAATTTATAGAGCCAAGAAGATGAACAAACCCCAACCAGGATAAAAAAAAATAAAGCCACACTGTGATGTTGAGGTACATCAGAATTACAGAAATCTAAATATAAAGAGAAAATCTTAAAATCAATGAGATGAAAGTCAAATCACATACAAGGGAATAATGGTGTGAAGGATGGCTTTCTTTTAATTAGAAACAGTGGAGGCCAGAGGGCAGTAGAACAGCATTCTTAAAGTGCCAGAGTAAAACTATCAACCCAGAATTCTATAGCCAGTCTTCAGAAATGAAAGTGAATTAAAGACATTTCTTGCATCACTAGAAATATTAAAGGAAGTTCCTCAAGTTGAAGGGAAATGGCCCCACAGGGTAACACGAACGTAATGGAAGGATTGGAGGCCATTGGAAACGGTAAATATAAAAGACTATATGTTATTTTATGTTCTTAATTTCTTTACGTGTATCTGTTCAAAACAGGACCAAAAAAAACCCTTTAACACTGTATTGTAGAATATGGAATGTATGATATAACATACGTGACAATAATAGAACAAAGGTAAAGGTAAAGGAGAGGTAAATGGAACTTTACTGTTGCGCGCACACACACACACACACACACACACACAGTATGTGAAGAAATACAGTGTTAACTCTAAGCAGAGTGTGATAAATTAAAGATACACATTGTAATCCCTAGAGTACCCATTAAAAATGCAAGAGTTGTAGCCAAAAGCCAAAAGGTTAAAACAGAATACTAAAATTTTTCAACTAGCCCAAAGAAGGCAAGAAAGGAAGAACAGATGAAACAAGAGAAAGGTGAGACAAATAGAGCGAAGCAGCAAATAGTGCACCAAACCCAAGCATATCGATAAGCACATTGATTGCCAAGGATTAAATACTCCAGTTAGGAAACAGAGATTATTCGAACAGTTTACAAAGCAAGGCCTAACTATACATTGTCCACAAGAAAGCACTTGAAATACAAACTAGGTTGAATGTAAAAAGGTGGAAAAATATGTACCACGCAAACATTATTAAAGTTAATAAAGATCCCAATAAATACGAACATGGGCAAACACTTGAACAGACACTTCACAAAGGAAAATACATGAATGATTAATAAGTACATGAAAAACTGCTCAGTATCCTTTGTTAACAAGGTAATGCAAACGGAAACCGCACTGCGATACCGTTACAAACCCACCAGATTGGCTAAACCAACTGACATCATCAAATGGCGGCAAGGATGTCCTGTGACCAAAGTGCTTGTACCTGGAGAGGTATAAAATGCTACAGCCTCGAGAGGAAAATCTTTCGTAGTTTCTTCTGAAGTTAAACATCTACGTCTATTCTTGGCCCAGGAATTGCTTTTCTGGGTATTTGTGCAAGAAAAATGAAAA